AAAAAAAAAAAAAATAAGACAAGTAGAAAAAATGAGTCTTCATTAGCTCTAATAGCTAATATCTAATAGCTTTATAGCTATAATTAGAAAACGCATATTATCTACTTAATAATTGCCATTATTTTAACAGAAATTATAAATTAAAACTCATTTAGATAAACTCAAGTAATTTTGACTTGATTAGTAGTATCTTGTACGTATATTTTTAATCGCATTGAAATGCTAACTCATCAATATCTCGATTCGAACATAAATAAAGTTTGGCCAATTTCAAAAGAAACGGCTCAAATAGAAGTAAAAAAATAAGCTTACTTTTTGTGTTATGTTTTTTTTTGTTTTCTTACCGATCTTATTTGATGATAGACAAGTTTAATGTCATCTTCAACTAGACGATAAGGGTCGATTTGATAATCGGGCAAGGATCCAGGCTGAATAGTTTGCATTGAACTCATCGATCTCGCGATGCCTATCCTGCATAATCCTCCACTTGTTGTAGTTCTGTTCTGCAAAAAAAAGGAAAAAAAAAAAAAAATACCAGGAAATTTACATTAGAATTGTCCTTCTATTATTTTTTTTTTATTTTTTAATTTTTTTTCTTTAACCTCATTCCATATAAATAATGGAACAATTATTATTGTTATTATAATTGTATAATTAGTGTTAAGGTGATAATGCAAAAAATATACAGTTAATATTTGCTTATTAGATAATATCATTCATTTCATATCTTATTAATTTGATTATTATCTAATTTGATAATTGAATAAATTAACAAAGTGTTGAATTCAAATCTAATTATATAATATTTGTAATTAATATTATAATATATATTTTTATATATAATTTAATGTGGAGAAAGTAAAAAAAAAAAAATGTAAACCAAGTCACACCACATGATTGTAAAACTGCTTGATTGAATGAAGATTATTTATAATATAATTTAATGTATATAAAATATATTATAACATTAATTATAATTATTATATTAAATATTATATTAAATATATATATATATAATATTTAAACGCCCATTTTACGCGGCAAATTTAAAATGAGTTTGTAAAGTAGTACGTCTGTACTACTTTTTTTTTATATATATTTTATATTTAAAATAATATTAATTATTAATATTATAATATATCTTTATATAATTTAATGTATAAAATATGTTATAGTATTAATTATAAATGTTATTTTAATTATATATGTAATAATAATTATAATTATATTATTTTTAATTATATATGTAATATTAATTATTATATTATTATTTTTAATTATTATATTAAATAATATATAATTTAATAAATATTAAAAATTAAATATTATGTATAATATTTTAAACGCCCATTTTACGCGGCAAATTTAAAATGAGTTTGTAAAGTAGTACCATCTGTACTACTTTTTTTTTTACATATATTTTATATTTAATATAATATTAATTATTAATTATAAATAATCATATTAATTATATATTTAATGTATGTACTATCATTTTAATTTTATCACCCATATTTGATTAACATTTTCATTTACTGCATACGCAATATATAAATGTGCGTTATTATTATTATATAAAGTAATCAACCATCTGTAATAAATAATTAATGTTATATTTGTACGTATATAACTCGTGGTATTTGCAATAGAAAAAAAAAGGAAGAAAAAACGAGAGGAGAAAAAAAAATGAGAAACAACACCAAACATCGACAATGCGGATATTCGTGAAAGGAATAATAGTTGTTTTACGTTACAACATTATTTTCACCAATCAACTTTCTTTCTTTTCTTTTTCAATGTATTTACTATAATCATTATTATTTTACGTCATTTTTAATGAAAAAAAAAAAAAAAAAGAAAGAACAATCTTTAATGAAACACGTTACTTTTATTTTCATTAATCGACGTACATTGCACGAATATGTTTCATTTAATTTGATTTGATTTGATTTGATTTGTTATTTCTGTGAATTCAACAAAAACATTTGTTGGATTCAAAGAGAGAGAGAGAAAGAGAGAGGGAGAATGGAAAAATAAAAAAAAAATAAACGAGACAACTTCGGGCTGCTCGTAACGCGTCATTTACTACTGTGTTACGTCTGATTGCATATTGCATTAACTACTTTTCCACTTGTGCAATCAACGTCTGATTCGCAGTCCACCTTATTACGGAGTTATATCACTTAAAAAGTATTATTACGTTCAAACATTCATTCTAAAAACAAGCAACCAATCAACTATTTAGCACATTAACAATCCACTTTTTCTCCTTTTTTTTAATTTACTTGTTTATATCATAGTTTTATTTTTGTAATCAATTTATTCTAGCAATAAATTAATTAATCAATAATTACTCGTTTTAATTATTATTATTATATTATAAATAATATAATTATAATATTTTTTTTTATTTATATAATAAACATTAGTTAATTATTATTAAATTATAAATATTATAATTATAATTTATTTANTAGTAATTAGTAGTAATTAATATTAAATTAATATTAAATTTCAAATATAATATAATTATAATTTATATTTATTTATATTATAAATATTATTATTATTATTATAATTATAAAAATATTAGTTAATTATTATTAAATTATAAATATTATAATTATAATTTATTTATTTATATTATAAATATTATAAATATAAATATTTGAATATTAGTAGTAATTAGTAGTAATTAATATTAAATTAATATTAAATGCTAAATATAATATAATATATAATTTATATTTATTTATATTATAAATATTATTATTATTATAATTATAAATATTAGTTAATTATTATTAAATTAATTTATAAGTTAATTTTATTCAATGTAACATGTAAATAAGTGGAATGAAAAATTTCATTTCAATCCAACCAACTTGTTTGTATATTGAAATAAAATAATTTAATATATTTATTATTAACTTTGTTATAATCAAATTACGAAATACAAAAGAAAGAAATAAATTGTGTGCGAATGAAATAAATAAAGATAATCCCTTTTTTTTTCTTTTTCTTTTTCTTTTTCACTATGTGAAAACATTAAATTGCTTTCAAAAGGAATATACTTGCATAATCTATCAAATTGGCAGGTAAGTTTGATTGCAATCAAATTAAAGAACGATTAAATTCTTACAGCACGCATTTGATACTACTACTATTACTATTACTATTTACTACTATTATTACTAACACAGGTTACAAGATTATACTTCTTTCTCTCTCTCTCTCTCTCTCTCTCTCTCTCTCTCTCTCTGTTCATCGTGAAGAATAATGTTTCTGATTATCCAATAGTTTCACAACTACGTTCACTTCGCATATGTTAGAAGAAATATACTTGTATACAATTTTTTTCATACATAATAAACTAACAAACACACATACAGACACACATCACACACACATTCTTCTTCTTCTTCTTCTTCTTCTTCTTCTTCTTCTTCTTCTTCTTCTAATAATAGTAAATAGAAAAAGAAATAAGAATGATCGAAACAGATAGACAAATTAGAATTGGAAACAATTGGTCATACCTAATTATGGGATACTATCTAACACATAAATGATTACAAATTTAATGCAATAAAAAAAAAAAGAGAGAGAGAAAGAGAGAGAGAAAATTACACAAGTTGAGTATCTTTTACCTGGAGGATTAATCGAGGCCATGAGACGAAGAAAGATGAAAGAGTTAAACAAAAGTGCATAATGTGCATATGGTAAACGTAACATGGATGCGTGAACAGAGTAATGATTGATCTTTCTTTATTTTTTTTTTTTTTTTAATGAAATTTATACGAATAGTTGACAGAATCAGTTGACAGAATGTACAAACTTAAGTCGTTAAATATTATTTTTTAAATGTCCATTTTTTTTTCCTAACAAGTAATATGTTGTACACATTCAAGGTGTCTAATATAAAACTATTGAGATGAAGAAACAATAAATATGAAATTCACACACACAAATGATGTTATTATAAAAAAAAAAATTATTATAATAAATTATATGAATATTAAATTATTTAATAAAATTATTAAAGAAACATTATTATAATAAATTATATTAATTATAATATTATATTTATTATTACAATATTTATTTATATATTCTATTGATTATATTATTAAATTAATTATTAAAAATAATAAATTATTATATTTTTATTATTATAATATTTATTTATATTATATTTAATTATAATATTTAATTATTTATCCATATTATCTTTAATTATAGTATTTATATATTATTTATTTATATGTTATATAATTATGATATACTTATTTATATATTATATATTATTACATATATATTTTTATTATTAGAATATTTATATATATATATATTAAATTTATTATATTATTAAATTAATATATTATAAATAATAAATTGTATATAAATTTGATAAATTTACAAAACAATTAAATTTCACACAACTTGTATCTAACGAGTAAAACACTTTCAAGGTTTCCAATCTCAAACTAATTAGAATAACAATAATAATAATAATAGAAAAATTAAAAAAAAAACAATTAACATGGAATTTAAATGATTCCATAAAATTTACAATTTGATTTGTACGATCAATTTAATGCGTACGCGATAAAACATTAAAAAAAAAAAAAACGATAGTAATATCGTGTAAATATATTTTACAGTGCTTGTGTATCTGTGTAAAAAAAAAAAAAAAACCATAATGAGAAACATAGAATACACGGGAGGATATTGAAGAATTGTGCAATGGACACTGACACAACTTAGATATTTTAACGTGCATGTCCAATGATCTTCATCATCGACATATTGCATTCTCTCTGTCTCTTTCTATCGTTTCACCAACAACCAGTTCCACTAGCAATGCGATAAAGACAAGTTCATTATATCTTACTTTTATTTTCACCTGGTTTTCCCCTTACCCACCCCACCCACCCAATCCTTTCCATATATAAAGGATAATTTATAAAAAAAGAATATAATAGAACCAAGGCCACTATAAAATAAAAGTATGCAGAAGGTACATATATATATATATACACATATATACACACACATATATATATATATATATACGTATCGATTCCTAATTACTCATACAACTTGCAATCGTTATGGCGTTTTAATACACACGTGTGTAAAGTTTATTTGATTTGTTCTTTTTATTTACTTTTTTTTTTTATTTTCTTTATAGTTTATACTTAATACCTTTCTAATGCCTAATAAAATATATATATATATATATATATATATATATATATATATATATATACCTTTTGCATACTTTTATTTTATAGTGGCCTTGGTTCTATTATTTTATATATATATTATTTATTA